AAAGGTGACTCCGCATGGTGAAGGGACTTTGCAGGTGTAGTTAAGGTTTATACAGAGGGGCAGAGAGATTCCAGGGATCAGAAGGAGCTGGGGTGTGGGTACTGTTTCTGAAACGTAGGCGTCCACATGTGAGACTGGAGGGAGGCCTCTACTGTCTAAGGGTGGCCCCCAGCTGACTGCCAGCAAAGAAACGGACCTGAATCCTACAATACAGGGAACTCAATTTGGCCAAGGGCATGAATGGATGAACTGGTGGGTCCCGCCCACACCCCCTGGTTAGAGCCCACGCAGCTGACACCTTGCGTCCAGCCTGTGCGGTCTGGGGCAGGGAGCCAGCCGAGCCACCTCTCGCTTCTGACCTATGGAACTGTGGGGAAATCCAAGAGTGCGTGCTGTTGAAACTTCTAAATGCCGTGATTGGTTCCAGCAGCTGCAGAAAACCGACAGTGGTTGGGGACTCAGGTTCTGGCTGAGAATGTCATGGAGCCCCTCACCCACGGGGCACGCGTTCCAAGACCTCCAGCAGATGCCTGAGACTGTAGAACCCACTGATCCCTCTATGCACTCTGCTTTTGCCTAGACAGACACACCTACAATAAAGCTTAATTTGTAAGTTAGACACAGGAGGAAGTTAATAATAACTAATAACACAATAGATGATTGTGACAGTGCACTGTAATGAAAGTCATGTGAATGTGGCTTCTCTCCTCTATCTAACTGTATTATACCCACCCTTCTCAGGATGGTGTGAGGTGACACCATGCCTTATGAAGTTAGGAACTCTCACCTTTTCACTCAAAGGAAGCACTCGCGGGCATCTCTTTGGCGTATCCGAATTGCCAGCATCGCCGCTCGTGTGCTTTGGGGACATCATGCAGTAAAATAAGGGTCACGTGGACAAACGCTGCAACACTGTGACAGCTGACCTGATAACCCGAGTGACTGGGAGACTAATGGGCAGGGAGAGTGTACAGTGTGGAGAGATACAGGACAAAGGGATGATTCACATCCGGGGCAGGATGGAGAGGCACAGCGGGAGATTTCATCGTTCTACTCAGAGTGACGTGCCATTCAAAACTTACGCATTGTTTCTTTCTGAGATCTTCCATTGAATATTTTTGGACCACAGTTGGCCACAGGTAACTGAAACCATGGAAGGTGTAACCACGGGTGAGGGGGGTGGGGTAGGGGGACAAAGTGTCTCTTTTTTGACACATCCCCACCCAGCTTTTCATTCTCCTGAGTGAAGTGATTTCACCGTCTTCCAAACAGTTCATCTCCTGTGGCATCTGTAGTCATCACTCAGTGGATTTTACCACCAGGTTGTGGGGTTTAGCTCCCCATGTCAGTCTTCCTGGATGCTGTGGTTGCTTCCTAAGGGGTCTCCCCACCTCCACGCCTGCCCTGTCTCCACCATCCTCCACCCTGCGCCAAGACACACCTTCCTGAAGCTCACTTTGCCTGCATCACTTGCTCCTGGGGTACAGGCATCTGTGGTTCTCCCGTTCCCACTGAATCCAGTGCAAACCCTTCAGCCAAGAATTCCGAGTCCTCGGTTGGGATGGGAGCCTGCCTCTGCAGCTGCGTTTCTCAGGACTCCCTCTGGGCTTTTGCCTTCTGCCCTCGCCCCCTTGTACACAGTCGGCCCTGCCTGCTCCACGCCTTGCAGCTCTACCGTTCCTCTAGGGCCATCTCGTTCCGGCAGCCCTCATGGAGTCCCAGAGGTATGGTCATTTATAGGTGTGATGCACAAGTCCCCGTCAGACTGTAGTTGCTTTTAGGGCCCCCTCCCTTCCTCCCTTCCTCCCCCAGTGCCTTGCCACAGTGACACCCGTCACCCGTGCTCGCAGCCTAGTCACGGGGTGGCGGAATGAAGGAGAGAAGCCACGGAACATTGGGAACGATTTACCATATGAGGCGTATTGCCTACAGTTGCTCATAAAAATGCCTCTTAAATGATTATTCAGTGGGTTTATTTTGAATGACTTAAAAGTGGATGCCGCTAAGATCTTCAGATATCTCAAGTATTTTTAGTACATTCCTTCTGCAACGACATTTCTGTTTGTAGGAGCTGCGTGTGTTCCGTTCAAAGATGGCCGAAACCTTGGTGAATAGTACTTTACTATTTTTGATATAGTATTATATTACCAGTTTTGGAATAACAGCTAATACATATTGATCCCCATGGACCAGATCATTTAATCCTTACAATGGTGCTCTGAAGTGGGAACTGTTAGTCACTACCGTTGATGAATGAGGAAACTGGGGCACAGAGAGGTTAAGTGAGTAACTCAAGGTCACCCAGCTAGTCCGGAGTAGAGCCCCATTTCCCGCCTAGGCAGTCTGGCTCTAGAGCCTCTGGCGCTGTGCCTGTTAAGCCTCCCTCCACAGCTGCCATGTGTCCCACTCAGCAGAGGGAGAACAGCGCTCCACCCCTGGGTGAGGATCACGAGCGTTATTGCCCTGGTTCCTTGCTCGTTGCTCCTTTTAACATTTCACACGTGCACAGGACTTCACTGTTTCCCAGACGTTCCCCTCGGAGAGACTGGAGGCTGGTGACAAGGAGGATTCCTATGTTGCAGATTCTTCCGAAGTGAAATGACCCAAGTCTAAAGTCAATGTCACTGAAGCCCCTTGGGTGCAGAAGACTCAGGGCCCCGGGACTCCTCCTTCCAGGCGGGGATTTCTTCTGCCACAAGCGGGACCCCTGACCTGGCCCCCAACACCCCACTGTTGCCACACCAGACGGACGATGGTCAAGTCCGCTTGAGCTACTTTGCACAGGCCCGAGTCAGCAGTGGTGATAGTCTCCTTAGAATTTCATTTTTGGTCTGTGGATTTTCTGTTTGTGAGTTATTATCGTCTGTTCAGGTAGGGAGGCCCTTTTTCCCTCCCTCCCTCCCTCTCTCCCTCCCTTCCTTCCTTCCTTTGTTTTTTTCCTACTATTTTTCTCTAAGCCAGAGAAACATGGGGTAGGGAGGGGAAAAAATCTTTCCGTATTCCATCTTAGGGAAGTTTGCCAAAGTGTCTGTCCTGCTGGCTGCTGGCTGCTGGCTGCAGGCCCACCCCCATCCTCAGAAGCCACGTCCACAGTGGGTTGCCTACAGAGCCAGCGCCCAGCCCGGGAGGGAGCCTCCGTGGTGGCCCTGGCATTGGTGGCTGTAGGCAGGCCCACCCCACCCGGAGTGTGCATCTCCTCGGCCCCAGAACGCCCCCTCTGCTGGGACGCTGCATATTTCCTATTCCCAGTGCTACCCCCGCCCCTCTTCGTGACTTTTAATAACTATACAGGAACTTCCTTTCCCTCCAGTAAAGACGGTCATCACATTCTTGAGCCTGGGTGTTGACATTTTCTTCGAACCCCCCAGAGCCTTGACACAGGCGCGTGAGTCACATTTTAGAAGAGGCGAGACCTCGGGCTCTAGATTAGACAAGACTGAAGTTTGAATACAGGGCTGGGCCTTGGACTGGCTATGTGGCTGTGCGTGAGTTGCTTAACCTCTCTGAGGCTCTGTCAGTTTTTTTGTCTGCAAAAGGGGAGGGTGTAGCCCCAGCAGGGCTGTGTGAGGAGGGCAGGCCCCTCACCTGGGTGCACATGGTAGATCCAGGGGAAGCCACCTTCCTCATGCCCCCCCCACCCAACATGCCCTCAGTCCCTCGCTGCCTGCAGATGGTGGTGGACAGGGAATGGTGGAAGCCGGCTTGAGAAAGCGAGCAGAAAAAATGAGGTAATATAACCAAGCCATTCCCCATTGAGAAGGCTTCTGCGAAAGTGTTAATGATCTCAGCAGTTTTGCTTAACCGAGACCACAAGGCAAGTTCAGCAAGTTTGCTCTCTTTACAAGGGCACGCCGTGGGGGAGGCCGAGCTTCTGGCGGCGGGCAGCCCGTCCAGCAGGGCACCTGGGCTCCGGAGTCGGAGTGTCCGCTGCTGCATCTGGGCCTCCCGGCTCACTAGCTCTGGAACTTGGGTGGATATCGGACTTCTCTGGGCCTGATTTTCCTCCTCTGAAACATGGCAATAAAAGTGTCCCCTGCCTCACAAAATTATTGGGAGGCTTAGATGTGATCATGTGTGCATACAGGCTTAAAAGAAGGCTTGCCACGGGAAGTGGGAAGTTAGCCACTGTTGTTCCAGGCCCTCGTCTCTGCCTGTGTACATGCGTGAGTGTGCACATGGGCCCGTGTGTGCACATGTGTTTTTATGAGCCTGTTGCCCCACTAGCATGATCTCTGCAGGGCACACAGTGATTTGATACCTGTGCCCTTTCATCCATCTCGGGCAGAAGGGGTTCAAAATGTGATCTGGGGAGGCTTGTATTTGAGTCATCTGGGGCATTTGTTAAAAATATCGGCCCCTGGCCCCAGCCCCGAACCACTGAGTCTGATGCCGGATATCAGCGTGGATCCCTAGTCTCGGCCCACGAGGGACAGCAGAGCTGCAGCCCCTGCGCAGAGGCGGCTTACTGCACGCCCTCCTGTCCCAGTGAAAGAAGGACTTTGCGGGTGGGGATGAAAAGCGGGTAGACCAATTGACTGGGAGCCTTTGCTTGACTTTTATCCAGGGATTTGTGATGCTTGAAACACAGGGAGGATTGCATTCCTTTCTGTGGAACTGCTTCATTCAGGCCCCCTCTCCCAAGTAGGGCTGCCGGTTGATTCCAGCTACTTAACTCATCGCTCCTTGATCTCATTGGGTAAAGGAGAGCGTTGGATGGCCAGAACCCATGTCAGTTCTTGGCCGTGGTGGGTGTGTCCCTGCATTCACAAAGGCCGTCCGGACCCAAAGTGCACGGAAATATTCCCTGGCAGGGCCCAGTCTGGTATCAGGTTCACTTTGCTGGTGTCCCATGTGATCGCCGTCTCTCCTTTGTGCCTACGCCTTAGGCACAGGACTTAGCACCGTCCAAGTGGCCTGAGTTCAAATCCTGTCTAGAGCATTTGGCTCAGTAACTTTGTGTAAGTGACAGAATTATACAAACCTCCCTTTTCCCTCCACAGTGTGGCGTGGTGAACTGATGACATGGCCCCGGCTCTTCAGCCGCTCCCTGCTTCTCTGATGCTGGACTGGAGTACAGGACTTGCTTTGTCCACGGGGGCATTAACAGACACATTGCAAGCAGAACTTTGACAAAGCATTTCCATTTGCACTGTTGGACTTCCGCCGTCACCAAGAGAAGGACGTTCTGAGCTAGCGTTCCGGCTCCCGGAGAAGGATGAGAGACACATAGAACATAACGATGGTGCTCTAATCCTCCGAGGGAGACCAGCCTAGACCAGCTGACCGCCAGCCACTCCTAGACCCCTGAGTGAGCCCAGCCAAGATCATCTGAGCTGCCTGCCTGGCCACCCAAGTGCATGGACACTTAGTGCTTGTGCCGCTGAGGTTTTGTTGTTACATGGCATTTTTAAGTGATAAATGCAATGGGAATATCAAGAATAACTATTTGATGACTTGAATTCTCCAAGGCGGGGGTTACCTGGCCCTCAGTGTATTGTTTGCTATATCAGGTCCCTTTTGTTGAGTGATTGGCCAACAAGGACAAATCTGGTAGCCCCTCTGTGAATGCACTCAGCACCTGACCTTGCCTGCTTCCTCTGCTCATGAACATCTCTCTGTTCAGCTGGGATGGCTGCTTATCCCCATCCACTGGGTTTTCTGTTACAGCAGAGGTGCCGTTTGTTGGACAAGTACAGAGTGAGTGAGGCAGCGAATGGGAGAGAGAGAAAGTCTGCATGTGTGTGCATGTGTGTTGGGGAGTGGAGTAGCTGAAGTCCTAGCTTTGAACAGAACTGTAGTTTCTGCTGATCTACTGAATAACTTGGGTCTTAACCCGCAAGGCAAGCCTGTTATCTGTGTTCCTTCAGCGGGGCTGGGGGGGCAGGGAACAGTTTGACACTGATACTGGTTTCAGAACGGACCATAGGGGAGCTACATGAAGGCCCGACCCCATATTTTGGGCACATGCTCTCCATGCAGTAGTTTTTGGCCATTCTCATTTGGTCCTCGCTGCAAAGGAGAAATCGCCCTTTCCAGCTGAACCGTGAAAGCCCTTCCCTCAGAGGCACCCAGTGCATGACTGGGGGTGCAGCTGAGTAGGGAGGAACACGAGCTCTTAGGGCAGGGCTTCCCGCCAGCGGGACAGCTTCTTTGAAAGCCCATCACACCCTCCAGGGACCTCAGCGGACACCCAGGCAGGTTCCCCCAGGAGGAGGGGTGTGGCTGGTCCAGGGTTACACCGTTTGACCAGGTTATGTGACATGCCTTCCAAGGCCCTTCCTTGGCGAGGCTGGTTGGGATAGCATGGATCGGTGGGCGTCACTGATTCCTTGTTGGTAAGTTTTCTGGTCTCCACATCAGCTCCTTAAAATAAGCAGCCCAGAGCACTCTGCAACCCCAGAGCCCCTGGGAGATAGATGCTGCTTCCACCCCGCCGAGGAGCTGTGGAGGGAATCCCCCATTTGAGTACTGACGTGCCTGTCCTCCCACCTGCCAGCTCAGAGCAGGGCCAGGCCAGGAAGGTTACTGGGCCTTGGCTCAGGCTGGCGCTGGCTGGGCAGGAGGCGGAGCGAGCGGCGGGCAGAAGCCCTGCTTGGCCAGCCGCCTCGGGCACCTGCCATCCTCCCGTGTTTGCTCAGCGGGTCCGGAGAGGAAGCAAGATGCTTTCTCTTGGGCCCTGGGCGTTCCCGGCCTCGGGGGCCAGCTGCTGGGGCTGGCACCTTCTCCGAGGAGCTGTCTTTCGCCCTCTCTGTACCGCCCTCTCTCAGCTACCTGACAAGCAGGTAATAATCTCACTAGCACCTAAGGTAACCCCGGGGCGGGGGGGAAAGGCAGGCCGCCTGGCTAGCGTGCACGGAACAAACGCTGGCAAGGGGCCCAGGAGCTCCACGTCAAGCACCTTCAGCCCTGGGGGTAGAGGTGCCCCCTCGGTGGCACCTCCAAACATCCTGCCGCACACCCTTCCCCACCTCTTCGCCACGTCAGGAAGTGTTTGCTGGAGTTCGGGCCAGAACCTCCAGCGACACACCATCTGCCTTTAATAGGACATGAGGAAGGAGTGAAATCCACCCTGAGTTTCAGTACAGCTCCTTCCTGTTAGAACCACATGAGAGACGGGCTATAAGGCCTCTCTTGCACCCAGGGGATTCCTGCCTCCCTAAGACAGAGCTCTACAGTAACCTGTGTGTGAGAGCTTCGTGGCGTGCAAAGCACTTTCGCACACACTAGCTCACCCGTGTGGGCCTCCCACACCCTGGGAATGAAACGGTACCAATGGCCCCATTTCACAGGCGAGTCAACTGAGGCCAAGAGAGGCGGAGTGACTCGCCCAGTGCCTGCAGGTAGAAGAGGCATCTGAGCAGAGACCGGAAGCCAGGTCTCCCCTCTACAAACCCGGACTCCCTTCTCGTTCATTCCCTGGTGCTTGCAGACATTCAGGAACACGTGGGCTTCTCTCTGGGGTTTGTGTTCAAACAAGGTCAGAGTGTCCGCAACGGAACGAACAGGTCCATGAGCTGCCTTTGGCTCTGGCTCTGGCTCACCCGCACGTGGTGTCGATCTTTGAGACAGGTCGAATTTGGCCCCATATTACACTGCAGAAGCCGGGGTCCCCGGAGGTGAAATGGCTCTCCCCGAGTTCCACAGGAAGCGGGGACCAAAGGTGGCCTCCGGTGCCTTGGCCTTGCTCTCCTCAGGCCACACGACCTCCTGCTGAGACCAGCTGTGCTAGGTCGGTGGGGGGCAGGAGCTGGCGCACCTCCCGGGAGGGCCCTGGGGGCACCCAGAGCTGCCTGGTGCTCTGCTCCTCCTCCGGAGGGAAAGGCTCCGACAGCAGCCTTCTTGCAGCCTTCTCCTCCCAGCGGCGCTCCAGTCCAGAGTCGTGGGCGCGTGGTGGGAATGGACTGAGCTGGGGGGCCCCTGGCTCCAGTGCCCTCACTTACCAACTGAGAAGTCGTTCGAGGTGATGTGACGGGCCCTTGCCCAGGAAGGGGTGGCAGAGCTTGGAGTGGAGTCCAGGCCCCTGACCCCAGGCCTGTGCTCTGAGGCTCCCCTCCTGCCACCTCCTGGTCCCTCCCCTTGCTCTTTGGTCCCTCCTGGTCCCTGACCTCAAGCTCTCCTGTGGGCCTCCTGGCATGGCCCTTGCTCACAAGATGCTGTGCATTCCCCCACTGCCTGCCCTGGGTCCCATGTATGCGTGGCTGTCATCTCCAGGAAGAACACGAGACCCTCAGTGGAGGGGACAGATGTGACTGCCTTTGGAGCTGGGTGCAAGTTGGGCCTGCAAATTGGTGGGATCTGGGTTCCAGCCCTGCTTGTGTGGCCCAGGGCAAGCTGTGTGTTGTCCCTCAAGTTACGTGACGGTCGCTTTCCCCCACCATCCCCTTTGTGCTCTCCTGCAACAATGACACCCTCCCACCCCACCCCACCCCCCGGTCCAGCACTTAGAAGGTGCCAGGCTCCCGTCCCACATGGCGGTGATTCCCCTGGGAGCTGGCCGCATGAAGTTGGAAGAGCATTTTGCTGGGGACAGGATCCTATGTTGTAGGCTTACCCCGCTGCCAACGTGCTGATGTGCTTGCTGGCCAGTGTCATTTACTGAACCCTCCAGGCACTGAGGCTCAGGGGTAGGTCACATGCCCAAGGTCGCAGTCAATGACAGAGTCTGGAGGGAAGCGCGGGCATCGGTCTGGAGGCCCCTGTGCCACGGGACGAGGCTCTGCCCTGTCTTCATCCTGGGGAGGGCCTCTGTTGCTCTGGCTCACGGCTGGCCCCCGCTGCCCCCAGGTGTCGGACCCACAGTGGGTCCTAGTTCTTGGCGGCTGAGTGGAGAAACAAAGGGATGAATGTCCTGAAATGTATAGACTCCCGACTGACTCCTTTGGATTTCTGACAGACACAAGGGGCTGCCATGTGCCAGCCCGTGCCACCTGCCAAGCCACAGCCTTCCCCAGCCTCAGGTGCCTCCTTGTGCAGAGGGCCACACCTGCCGGCTGCCCAGGGTGCCCGCACCTTGCCCCGCTCCCCGCAGCCCTCCCCCTGCAGCCTCCCCTTCCCGCCCTCCGTCCCGCCGCGGGCTCCCGCCAAACCAGCCCACAACGGCCTCCTTTTGTTCCCTCATCTCAGTTTCAGGCAGACCAGTCCAGCCCGGCCCCCCAGCTCGCTCCGCACACCCCTTTGAAGCCTTGACAGTTGGCCAACAGAGCTGGCCGAGTGCACGGAGGCTGGGGCCGGTGCCAGGGCCTGGCAGCCACTTCCCGCCTTGCCGGCTCCCCGGACCTGGCTTTTCCAGGGCCCGTGCCCACGGGGACGGAGACGCCAAGATGTTCACTTTGCCCTCATGGACATGCATCCAGGGCCGCCGGCTGGGCTGTTCCCACAGCCCGGAGGCCTTTCTCATGCGTCCCCTGTGGTGCAGCCCCCTGTGCAGGACGCCGCCTTTGGTCCCACGGCGGAGGATGTAGCAGCAAGGGCCTGGCTGGGTTCTGCACTCTCTACGGAGAGGCAGGATGGGACAGGGACGGGGACAGGAGCACAGGCCTCGGCTCTGGTGTCCAGCGCCTCCCTCTGCCATCTCCAGCTGTGGGACTTCCCTGCTTCGTGCCTCCGTTTCCTCTTCTGTGAGCTGGGAGAACGGCGGACCCGGTTCACGGCTGTCCAGTGAGGAGGAAGCAGATGCTGTGGGTTAGCGCATTGTGGGCATTTGATCACTGGCTGCCGGAGCTCGTGATCAGCGTGTGGGGCTGTCGCTGGAGTTGCTCGGAGCATCGGAGCGCTGGGAGCCCTGCTCAGCCTGCGGAGTTCCGGCCTTGGCCCTCGCACCACTGGGCGACAGCTGCTGTGACTCCTATCAAAACTCCATGTGTGAATGAGGGGGTCTTCTGTTCTTATGTCATAACCTTAAAATACAGGGTCCGTGCACAATTTAGGAAATTCAGATAAGTGAGAGGAAAAATGAAAAACCACTTGTCATCTCCTGTTCAGATACGTGTCGCCAGGTGCACACGCACATGCAGTGAGAGCCTGAACACTTGTCTCCTCTGGGTTCACAGGTGGAAACCCTAATATATTGGAAGTGGGGTCTTTGGGGGGTGATTAGGGTTAGATGATGTTATGAGGGTGGGGCCCCCCTGATGAGATTAGTGACCTTATAAGGAGAGAGAGAGGCCAGAGCTCCATTTGCATGAGAGCAAAGAGGAAAGGTCATTCGAAGATAATAGGGAGTGGATGGCTGTCTACAAGCCAAAATTCATGTCCTCAGGAACTGAACTGGCTAGCACCTTGACCTTGGACACCCCGGCCTCTAGGATGGCAAGAAATAAACTCTGTTGTTTGAGCCCCTCCGTCCCAAGCAGGCTAGGACACATACACACTGAAAGGGCCAGCTTAGAAACTACTGTTTATATTAAACAATTCATACACACACACATTCTTGCATACGTGTACATGTATTTGAGAAGGTAAAGTGTCTGTTAAGAGCTTTTGCCATTTAGCATAAGGCGTACTTCTCTCCTGTTAAGACATTTGTCTACATATAAAGGCCACGTGGTATGTCATGATACAAACGTGCCGACCCACTTCCCAGAGGAGGAAGTTGACCCACTGAGAAGCAGAGTAAGTCCCACAAGGTTGCCCAGCTGCTTGGGGCATAGCTGACCCCCGACACTTCTCCAGGAAGGTCTCTGCGGTTCCCCGGGGCAGGTTTCACAAGAATCCGAGTTTTATGAGAACGGGGACTGCGTCTTGCTGAGTCTCCATTGTTTCTAGGGCACTGACCACGAGGTGGGCGCTCTTCACAGAGACGGAGTGAAAGAAGGAAGCTGCGTCCATTTCCCTTTTGAT